AGGTTAGCGACCTCTGATACATCACCAGGGGGTCACTACACTAATGCTGCGCAAATTATACTTAAGTATGGCATCTATGGCTTTCTATAGTGGTTGTAAGAGTGAAAACGTGTATGACGTTAGTATAGCTTGTATCCTCTACGTCAGTGTTGTGTGTGAAAGTGTTCCCACTTTGTATCCATATTTTGCGTGAGAAATCGTGGCAGGATGTTGCGTTATGGTATTTTGGCGTGTGTTGCTTACGTCTTTGGCGCGAGTGTTGATATGTTTGAGTGTGGCTAGGTGTGAGGAGCGTGGCGAGGTATGAGGTTGCAGGGCTAGTCTGATGTGGTGGTTTGGGGGGGGGAGAGGAGTGATGACGGTGTGTAGCCTACGTCTTTAGCAAGTATGTGGTAGGGGGGAGGGAGAGGGAGGGGGTAGAGCTGCATACGTAGTTTTTGGATGAGTGTGTTGTGTGGGATTTATAAGCGCTTCTTCGTGGGTTAATAGTCGGGTGGAGGCTGGCAGTGTGTGGGACAGGCCTTTTCTCCCTTGGGAGTGTGTCACGTGATCAGGACCTGGCGCAGAATACGCTCCGGTGACGGGGTTGGGGGGCTCCACCGCGTCACTAGTCCCTCCCATGTTTACTAATAATACTCCCACTGCTGCTTTGCTCTCTTCACATTTTCTACTGACTTACTCCTAGTGCCATCGATAACCAGAACTAATTTACGGTATTCGGGAGAGTTGATAACGTTACCCGTCGTGTTCGAGCTGTTTACATAGCTCTCGTACAGGACGGCTGTTCTTTGACGCCTGCGATGTCAAATATCAATGATAACGAGAGCAATCTGCTGTGATTCGCTTGCCTACGCAGTGCGTAAATGACAGTAATGTGCGTATTAAGACAGTGGTTGCCACATCCAGAGATACGCACACACCAAAACAAAACAAAAAAAAAGCACCCGAGATGACGAGGAGGAATATTTAAAATCTGCCACGTTATAACAAGGGCTCACAAACTTGAACTTAAAAGGTAAAGGTGCCGAAAAGATGTCTGAAAGTTCATTTGCGAACAATTTGTAGTGTTGGAACATTTGCGAACAAGTTAATTTAACAAGAAGTTGTCGTGTTGGATCAATGTATGTGAGAAAAGTGGTGGGGGCCAAAACCATCAGTAATTTCAAAGATGATAAGGAAAACGACCCCACGAGCCTAGCTCTCATCCTGTAACTACACACCACCTACACTCCCAGCCACCAACCACCACTCACAACTTACCCCTACCATAACAACATACCCCCACCACTAACAACATACCCCCACCACTAACAACATACCCCCACCACTAACAACATACCCCCACCACTAACAACATACCCCCACCACTAACAACATACCCCCCCACCACTAACAACATACCCCCACCACTAACAACATACCCCCACCACTAACAACATACCCCCACCACTAACAACATACCCCCACCACTAACAACATACCCCCACCACTAACAACATACCCCCCACCACTAACAACTTACCCCCCACCACTAACAACTTACCCCCACCACTAACAACATACCCCCACCACTAACAACATACCCCCACCACTAACAACATACCCCCACCACTAACAACATACCCCCACCACTAACAACATACCCCCACCACTAACAACTTACCCCCACCACTAACAACTTACCCCCACCACTAACAACTTACCCCTACCACTAACAACATACCCCTACCACTAACAACATACCCCCACCACTAACAACTTACCCCCACCACTAACAACTTACCCCCACCACTAACAACATACCCCCACCACTAACAACTTACCCCTACCACTAACAACATACCCCCACCACTAACAACTTACCCCCACCACTAACAACTTACCCCCACCACTAACAACTTACCCCCACCACTAACAACTTACCCCCACCACTAACAACATACCCCCCACCACTAACAACTTACCCCACCCTTACAGCCCGCATCAAAGCTATTCCCTCCCCCCAATAGCCGTGCTCACCCACCCCCTTACACCCCCACACTACTTTTCATCCCTGGAGCGTAAGGCTGGCACTGACAAGACTAAATAACTGTGGGATGTGGGAGACTGTTGTGAGAGAGGTTAGCAGTAACAGTGCCCATACGCCCACAGTCGGTCAGGAATGGCAGCCATTGGACGCCCCGTGTCTAGACTCGGGGCCGTCGCCACCCCAAGGCTTTCTAGTGCTTGACAGTTAAATTTAAATTTTGGCGCGAGGGGCGAGTTTATTGGTCATCGCGCGAGTCCGCCATAGAATCTGTAGGAAGAAATCCCGCAAGTTTTTTTCATCCTGTCAGTTGTACCCAGAATCAGCTTAAACTCGCTTAACTGTCTCAAGTGAGAAGACTGTCAAACATTGGAGTTGACAGTAATAGAGAGAAGACAATGTTAACGGTAATGTAGGGAAATACTATGATAAAATTTGTAGATAATGTATCGTCTGATTAAGGCCCTTAGGCGTTATCTACACGGTCTACTTTCATCTTGGAGTTTCCTTATAAGGGAGGTTATCTTCTTGAGGTTATGTTGAGATGATTTCGGGGCTTTAGTGTCCCCGCGGCCCGGTCCTCGACCAGGCCTCCACCCCCAGGAAGCAGCCCGTGGCAGCTGACTAACTCCCAGGGTACCTATTTACTGCTAGGTAACAGGGGCATAGGGTGAAAGAAACTCTGCCCATTGTTTCTCGCCGGCGCCCGGGATCGAACCCGGGACCACAGAATCAGAAGACCAGTGTGCTGTCCGCTCGGCCAACCGGCTCCCGCAATTAATATTTGCCAACCTTCAAGCTTGCATTATCTTGGGCCAAGTGGTAGATGCTATTTAGGAGAGCGTGTGTATTATGTTTACATGCATAACCCATTGTTAGCTTAAACCTTGCGCTGTGTCCCAACCCAGGTCCTTCTTTTCCGACTCCCTCTTATATTGGGATACCTTTATCGCTACCTTTTCTAATGGTAGTAGTGGTATTTTCTAATGGTATTGACTGTACATTTGGTGGTGCTGGATTCTGGTCCCGCCGCCTTCTGGCTCAATAGCACTACGACGCAGTAGTTAATGGCTTCTCGTATTCTAGAGAATACAAGAGCCTCCAAGAGCCACGCTGTGAGTAAAGCTCGTTATATCGTCGTTGAAAGCGTGTTATACCGTAATTATATCTGTTCAAGTTAAGCAGTAACCTTTACGCAGTGATTATCAAGCAGTTGGTTCATGTGTGTGGGGTGAAATGCCACTGAGAAGCATCAGGAACGCCACCCTGAGTCTCCCGGCGCCACAGTGTCTGAAAATCCGGCCAGGCGGGAGGGGTGAGTAGCAGGGGGTGATGGGGCGCCGCGTGGGCGTGGGTAGGGATGGGCGCCGGACAGTGTGGTGTCTGTGGGCCCGCGCTCAAATGATGATTTTGATTGTTGCCTCCGGAGGCGGCTAGTATATTGTGCACCCGATACTCATCCTGTGAGCGGTAGTGCAAAAATGATTACAGAGGGCACAAAAGGTCTGTATCAGACCTCAACGGAGATTATTACATTAACAATTTCATCTATTCTTTACACCTTATAATTATAATGTCAGTTAGTTACAGAGATAACTTACCGTAGAATGTTCTATAACTTACCGTAAATCATTATACATGAATGGTAGGTCTTATCACTAATACATAATTGAGCAATTGAGATATTAGTCATAGGGGAGCTGCTGTTTGTTAGTATTAGTCTTCACAATACACTACTTGTTTCTTAATCAATCAAATGATGCAGCTTACCATCCGGGTTAATGACTATGTCGTATGTGTTACCTTAACAATTACTTTGGATTACTGTGGTACTTAATATTTATTTGTTTTTCTTTATCTGGCCTCTTATTGCGCACATAGGTGGGGGGGGGGTGTGGTCCTGATAGTTATGGTGTGTTAACGAAGGTATTAACTAACCTAAATGTTAGTTATGGTGATGTTTGTGACGAATGGCTTTTGTAGTTATGGTGATTGTCAAATAGAGCTTCGGTAGTTAAGGGGATTGTGAAATAGAGCTTCGGTAGTTAAGGGGATTGTGAAGTAGAGCTTCGGTAGTTAAGGGGATTGTGAAATAGAGCTTCGGTAGTTAAGGGGATTGTGAAGTAGAGCTTCGGTAGTTAAGGGGATTGTGAAATAGAGCTTCGGTAGTTAAGGGGATTGTGAAGTAGAGCTTCGGTAGTTATGGGGATTTTTTTTATTAATTGAGGTATTAGTAGTTTTGAAGATGCTAAGACACGTGTCATCAGCTGAGTGTTTATCACACACAAATGTTCGTTTCTCGGATATTGGTAACTTGTATTTAAAGGACACTATTGTACATTTGACATGGCTTCTCATAGGATTTAAACAGGTTCTGGCTCACTAAATCCCAGTTAATCTCTGTGACCTTGGTGTTGAAATCTCTGGTGCGCATACAGTCCTTTGTGTAATCAATAAAATCGCTGCTGTCATTTAAATTATTATCTGCGTGTTGTCAGAGAATAGATATGGGCGCAAATGCTTTTTTTTATTATTATTATGATTTTCTACCACACGTGGCCAGACATTTGCAATGCTAACCAGCATATATACATTTTCTTCTGTCCTCCATAGACAGGGTGAGAGATCTGTTAAACATATAGTTCAGCGCAAAAGCTGTGTTTGGAAGTTAACTTGTTATCTTGATGTTTTCGGGGCTTTAGTGTCCCCGCGGCCCGGTCCTCGACCAGGCCTCCACCCCTAGGAAGCAGCCCATGACAGCTGACTAACACCCAGGTACCTATTTTACTGCTAGGTAACACGGGCATAGGGTAAAGGAAACTCTGCCTATTGTTTCTCGCCGGCGCCCGGGATCGAACCCAGGATCACAAGTCCAGTGTTCTGTCCTCTCGGCCGACCGGCTCCCTTGTATAAGCTTTGTTTAAACATGTTAATATTGTAGCGATGCTGACGAGATGTCTCTTCCCTCTTGCAGAAACCATCGCTTACTGTGGCCATTAAAAGTATCACCAAGAAAAACATCGCCAAGAGCCAGAATCTCCTCAGTAAAGAAATAAAAATTCTTAAGGTAAGTTAAAAGATAATTTTGTCGTAGCTTTAGTTCTTGTTTTTCTCCCTCGCCGGAACTTGGCGTTAAAGGCATCCAGATGTTTGGTAGTGTACTCAAGAGCGAGCTTCACCTCCTGGGTCCCGCCCTTCTCTTTCCAGTTTCATTTGGACGCTTCCGTTTATAGCATTTGAACGGAATTTCTCATAGCATTTCTAACTCTTTACTCAATATTATGGACTAGGATAGCCATAAATGTAATGAAATCACCTATATTAATTTGCTTTCGTATTTTACATACTAAAGAGTTAGTGATTATTTAAAGGTGTTGTCGAGATTATATGCCTTCAACACATTTTGTATCTTGCATAAACAAATGTTTTGTATTTAAGTGTTAAATTCTGATGATAATTTGCATCAGAAGTCAATGAATAATATGAATCATGATATGCTAATCGGGGAAGGCTTCTGTGCATATATTTAGAGGAAATGGGTGTGCTTGTACGAGAATGCAATGTAATTTGTAGCTAGTTTGTGTTAATCTGTATAAGAGTTTTTCAAAAAGTTACGAGTTGTGTATTGAGATACAAATGTCATCTGGGTGATTTAAGAGAGTTAGAGAATATTGATTCACATGGGGAATGAACCCCCAATGGACATTTTAAGTTGATGGTTTTCTGGCTACCTGCTTGATGGGGTTCTGGGAGTTGTTCTTCTCCCCACTGCTGTTGAACCTCACACAGAACCCACCTCCCTCCCCCTGGAGGGAGGCTGAGTTGTAGCGCTGCCGTCTTTTCATCTGTTATTTACAAGGGACCGTGTTTGGGAGCTCTAGGGGGCTTGGGAGCTTTTGCATTACGGGCTCACCATAGTCCGTGCTACATGGACACTTCGTTCTGAGTAGCTAAATCTCAAACAACAACAGGGAGCTCTATATCCAGACAACTATCCACTATTACATTTATGTTGGTAGGATTATTTCTTATACATGTATCCGGCTAAAAAAACTTAGCATAAACAAGATAAGTTATGGAGTGTTACTAGCTAGTGGAAATGTAAAAGGTTCTGTTAAGTAGTTACCTTGTTTGAAATTGTCGGTTATGTCAAATTGGAAGTAGGTTGTGATGCGGGGGGGGGGGTTACATAACTAGATAGTTACACAAGCTCTGTAGCCCTTCATATGGTGTTGGGTAGCTGCATTAATGGCCGGGGTTGGAGAAGGGTTGATCATTACTATTCACATCTTTATTGATAATTTAATTAGTTTTGCTTAATCTGAGGATTTCAATTAAGTCTTATTAAAGTGAGGATTATGCTGGTATTCACTGTCACGCAGGACAGAGGGTCATACACAAGACAATAGGTCTAAACTGTAGGCTGAAGCACATATATATCATGGTTACAATCAATGTATGAATATGGGAAAACTACTTTCTATTGTGCACTGCCACACAAGGGCAGGGATGGGTTCATAAGTGATGCAGCTTAGAAGTAATATAAATAAAATTGTTCTTCATTCTTTAAAGTGAACAAGCAAATTTTGGATAAATTGTTAGGATGTCGTCAAGAATACCTGAGTCAATGACATAGCTACACAGTTGGTGGTACAAGAGGCCAGGAGGTCTAAAATGTTTTACAGTTGCACATTCAACAAGAAGGGCTGAGGTGTTACAGTGAGCCACGCGGGTCGTGGCTGGCTTTTTATACACAAAAAGTTAATTGTTTTGTTGGGTTTAAATGGTTCTTACAGTAAGCACACTTATGCTAGAAAATATAAATATGAAATTTAATGTTGAGAAGAGTTTTATAGCAAGGCTAAACTATCTGGGGGCCTACAGTTGAGTGAACAGCGCTATGGATTCGTAGTTCTGAGGCTCCGGGTTCGATCTCCGGTGGAGGCGGAGTCAAATGGGCAAAAAGTTTTTCACCCTGATGTTCCTGTTATCTTGCAGTAAATAGGTGCCTGGGAGTTAAACAGCTGCTACGGGCTGCTTCCTGGGTGTGTGTAACAAAAAGAAAGCCCTGGTCGAGGACTGGGCCGCGGGGACGCTAAGCCCCGAAATGATCTGCAGATAACCTCAAGATAAGAAAGGTTGTATTAGCGTGGCCCAACATGACAGCAGTGACCATAGAGGTGGTGCAGTGTGTGGCCGGCCTCCCGTTAACAACCCGGCCGGGGAAACCTTTATCACGCACTTAACTGGCCCCCGGCACCTTGGCGCCTCTAAATGACTGGTAACTGTGCACACACAGTGTACTTGTCACATTGAATCTCTCCACACTGAAACGACATTAAGCTTGTCACCACCTGAATGTCTGGCTCTTGGTACGAAGGGCATAAAATGGTTTGTTGATTGATGAGTGAATACCTGGCACGTATCAAGGCTGAGTCTTACGGAAGTCTGGATGTGTTGAGCGAGGAGGAGGAGCCAGTGGAGCGTGACAGTGGTGTTGTAAACTACAGGTTTGTCGCAGATAGAAGAGAGTTCAAGATTAGACCTATAGTCGTAGTCTGGAAGAATACTGAACCGCCACCTGACAAGTATTGGTTTGGTGGGTTGTAAAGATTAGACTTAGATACCCTGACCTTGGGTGAACTAGTTAGTTCCCTTTTAATAGTTGGCCACTGAGGTTGTATACATAATAATACTAGCACCAGGGTTAGTATTAATATATACGGGAGTGATAGGGGGGAGGGAAGGGCCAAGCCATTACGACTATATAGCACTTGGAAGGAGTCAGGATAAGGATTTGGGATGGGACGGGGGGAAGGAATGGTGCCCAACCACTTGGACGGTCGGGGATTGAACGCCGACCTGCATGAAGGGAGGCCGTCGCTCTACCGTCCAACCCAAGTGGTTGGGCAAGGGGGGGGGGGAAGAGTTCAGCGCAACTTTCGCCAGGTGCAGTGCTCATGTTTTTTCCCCTTACATCTATTAATTATAATCGCCCAAGAAGAATTGCTTCTGTACAGTGTATTCCTCACCGTTAATTTCCGGGATCTTTGCTGTGAAAAAAACTGTGAAGGCGCATCATGTATGAGGAGAGAACCGCGCATACGCCGGGAAATCAGAAGCCAGTCCACACTAATATTTTTGATGGATACCTTTGTGTAAGCACCATAAATGTAGAATAACGGTGAGTGACGCCGCAGAAGACAGAACTGCGTGTCACTCACCGCTGTACTGTGGCAGCTGGAATTACAGTCCGTCGGCACACATTGAGAGCCTTACGGGGCTATTCATGCCCGTGCCACCTCTTGGGTGGCTTAATCTTTATCAATCAATGATTGATTGAGAGCCACACTGGCAAGTGTACTGTGGTAAGTGAGGCTGTGTTACAGCCCTAGTGAAGGGTGAGGGGGGGGGGGGAACTTGAGGCCAGTGTAAGTAAACATTTGGCTGGTGGAAAGGTTGATATTAGTGAACAAATCCACAAGGGCCGTGACGAGGATTCGAACCTGCGTCCGAGATCATCCCAACATATCAACTGCTTGATATTGGTAATTGTAATGGAATGGCAGTTGAGTTGCTGATGTAGGGAATGATATACCGCACAACCGTGGATGTAACATTTTATTCATGTGGAGCACTAGGAGGGTCGAACACTAGACCTCCGACATAGGAGACAGTCGCTCTACCAACTGCGCACTTGGGGACATTATGGTTCTTGCCGCAGTGGGCGGCGCTGTCCTCTTAGAAGACAAACTTTAATTCATGTACTTATGAGACCCTGAGCTCACGTGTCACTATCAAAGTCTCAGTTAGATACCGGTTAGGTGCTTGTGAGATCCTGTCCTCTTGCGAGCATCCACGGTCTGGCTGTAAGACAATAGTCTTGAGACTGAAGTTGGACTCTAATGATCCAAGTGAATAAAATGTCACTATCGCCCGGATTCTCTTGTCTCTGGTTACGTCACACTTTCTAGTAGTTACTGATGTGTAAGTATTGTGCAGTTATCAGGTCGCTTATTATATTACACGCTTATATTATAGCCATAATATAAGTGATCGATTACTGTCATTTGTCGTGATATATCCTGACGAACGGTGTCAGTCATCTTGACGGGAGAGTGTGTGCTGGAGCATTACACCTGGAGCTGTTATGAAGGTGGCAGCCATCTATATGTAGGCCATGGTCACATACCACCCAAGCCTCCCTCAGTGTTGTGATGGCTGATGGTGTGGTGGTGGTGGTGGTGCAGCATCACCTGTGTGGTGGTGGAGGTGGTGCAGCATCACCTGTGTGGTGGTGGTGCAGCATCACCTGTGTGGTGGTGGTGGTGGTGCAGCATCACCTGTGTGGTGGTGGTGGTGCAGCATCACCTGTGTGGTGGTGGTGCAGCATCACAGTTATGATGCACACAGAGATGCAAGTACCCAGGTATTGGGGGAATCATCACACAAGTATTGTGACATTGAACTATGGCATCGGTATGTGATCAGTTTTCTCCTCCTGCACACAGAAATAACACCACATGAGACCAGAAGACATGGCAGGATGTGCAGAATACCCCCGTTGAAAAGCAGAGGTGCAACAGGTACTCTGAGAGAGAACTCTATCAACATCAGAGGCCCGAGACTGTTCAACACGCTTCCACTACACATAAGGGGCATAACTGGCAAACCCCTCACAGTGTTCAAGAGAGAACTGGATAAGCACCTCCAAAGGATACCTGATCAACCAGGCTGTGACTCATACGTCAGGCTGCGAGCAGCCGCGTCTAACAGCCTGGTTGATCAGTCCAGCAACCAGGAGGCCTGGTCGACGACCGGGCCGCGGGGACACTAAGCCCCGGAAGCACCTCAAGGTAGCCAAGGTAGCCAGTGCCTTTGGGGGAGATGTGTGCCTTGTAACTATAGGTACTTGCTACTTCAACATGTTCTCTGTCGTGCGTGTGCTACTTGAGGCTGTGACTGACGTAGTACTGAACGTTTCTTTAGTCACGAAAAGGTTGATTTAGGTTGATACCCATCAACCAGGTAGCAACGAGGTAGTCACTATTAGTATTGCAAGTTACT